AGCCGCGGGGCCAGTTACTCCAGTATTCCGGAGCGTTGTTCCGGTAGCCGCTGTGCCAGTGTGCCTCCTGTTGCCCGTGTGTCTGCAGCTTCATCCGTCGCCTCCTATCTCCTCTCCTCTCACTCTCTCTCCTCCTCCTCACTTGCCCGTTGTGACTACCACTAGCTTTGCTCATAATTGTTAACTTTAAACTATTGCTTCTTGAACTTGTGCTCAGAATGTGTGGTGACATTGTGATCCACCCTGAGCTTGTACTGCTTTGCTTGCTCTGCTGATTACACCCCACTTTGGCTATGGGGGTGTGTCAGAATGTCTTCTTATGCTCTAGCCTGTAGTGGGGTGCTCTATAGCGAGTACAACCCTTCTAGGGTTTCCTATTTGTATCCCCATTCTTGCAAGTGCAGTCCTCTTCTTTCTTCTACATCTCACAAACTACCCTTCACTAGGGCCTACACCAAGTGAAATGTTACACTACACAAAGTAATGTAACTATCTTCAATATCTTGAGGTGCACCCTTTTGGCTAGCTTCGAAATCACTTGAGGCTTGACACCAAGGCTCGGGCTCTTCATCACAAACTCATCCTTGAGTTCTTGATGGGTCTTCTACACACACCTGCGACACGCCGAACGTTCGACACAGGACAAAATAGAAACCGCGCACGACAAAATAGAAACCGCTGCGAGACACAAACGACAGCGTAACACGCGTCTAGCGATAACTCGCTGTTGACTCGACACACACACTCGACATCATGACTCAACATTCACACACAATTATAAGCATGAAATATATTTTATCCCATGCCCTCATACCATTCCATACACACACACATGCACGCACACGGACAACAAGCCGAGTGCAAACCGTAGGGTTGCACCAACAGAAGACACGGCGCGGGGTGGGTTGGTAAAACTGCCAGCCAGGCGCGTTAGGAACAAAGCCAAGGAAGACACCGGGAATGGCGCGACGGAGAGCTTGTCCGCGGTAGTATCGCGGACAAAGGCACGAGAGCCCCAGACCCGGAACTGCAACGCATCGCCAACCTCTCCCGTCCAACGCAGTGTGGGCGAGGTGTCCGGCAAGGAGACACGGGGCCAGAGGTTGAGCTGATGCGCAGCGTACCGGACCGCAAACAGCCACAAAAAATGGGGAGCAGCCGCATGGATCATGGAGGTACGAGCGACCTCCATGACTAAGCCAATGGGGCGCTCAGCAACCCCATTCTGCTGCGGGGAAGCCAGAAGCGAGAACGACTTGAGAATGCCTTCTCCCTGACAGAAGGCTTGCAAGAGGTCGTCGGAGAACTCACCACCTCTGTCAGAGTGCAGACGCAGGACAAGAAGGTCCGTGTCGAACCGCTCGCGGAGGTGGAGACAGACAGCGCGGATCAAAAGGATCAAGGCATCAGGGACCTCACCCTTGCTGCGCAAGGGGAAGACGGTGGTGTAGCGCGAGTAGTCATCGACAACCAGCAGAAAGTACCGCTCGCCGCCTTGTCCACGAACGCGGGCTAGGGCCCACACGTCCATGTGAAGGGTTTGTAGAAGAGCCTCTGTCGGGGGAAACGAGGAGAGAGAAGCGGCGCGCTGCCGCCCCTCGACGCAAGAAATGAAGGGCGGGGCAGGGGAGCGCGGGAGGGAGGACAGAGACCTAGGAAGGCTAGAGACAAGGAAGCGGGAGTGCATGCCACGGAGGCGTGGCAGAGAGGGGTGACCAAGGCGGTGGTGCTAGAGAAGAGTCTGGTGTGAGAAGTGGCGACACGCACAAGGGGCTTCTGCCTGACCGGACACAGCTACCGGACCTGACGCAGCTACATGGGGAGACTCAGTAGTCAGTGTGTACAGGCTTGACCCAGGCCGACGGGTGAACGTGGCCAGGTGACGGCTAGTCCATGCACACGTGCAGATCGCCACACGCTGCCATGCAGGGGTGAAGGTATTAACCCCCTCATCCTGAAGGGCAGCGTTGCTCACCAAGTTCGTCGAGAACGAGGGGAGGTGGAGACCTGACAGTGAGCCGGACGGAACTGCCGGACATGGGAGAACAGTGGTGGAACGTGCAGGCACCGGGCCCCCCGAGGGGTCAGCTAGGGAGACTGCAACGAGTCTAGTGAGTGGTGTGAGTGTGGTACTGTCGCGAAAGAAGCAGCGAGTGGCACAAGTGTGAAGGTGTGCAAGGCCTCAGCAAGCGCAGTTACGGAGAGAGCAGACTCACTAGCACCTAGAGCAGCAGTCGGTATACCTGGGTTAGGCGGCACACACGAGTAACAGACACCTCTCAGCACTAGTAGACAAAGCATACATGCGAGTAAGGATAGCATCATAGTCAAGATCAAAGATTTCAACACCAGCCCTAAGCAGATCTTCCTAGCGGGGTATCTCATGATCATCGCCAAACTCATTGCGCCAAGCATAGTCTAGGCGAGAGAAGCAGCGGTACTGGATGTGAGGCTTGCCGCACATCTGACTCGACTCTTGCGATCACCAGTGCGAATGACGTACGGGCAGGAAGCACTACCCCCAGACACCCGGCGCTAAGCATACCAGTCACGAAGCTGCTGGGACGAGAGGGTCTCATGCTGGCGCTGCAGCTGCTGCTGCTGCTGCTAACCATCTCCAGTCCGCCCACCACTGCTGTTGCCACCTCCACTGCTGCCACCACCACCACTGCCCCCACTACGTCCACTGTCACCATGATCACCGCCACCGCCAACCCCGCCGCTGCCGCCACCCCCGCCACCAACTCCCCCACTCCCGCCACCACTCCCAATGCCACCTCCGCCACCTCCACCGCCTCCACCGCCTCCACCACCACCGCCTCCACCGCCGCCACCCCCACCACCCTTGCCTCCCTTGCCCCTGCCGCTACGGCGCCTCCCACTAGGAGCAGAAGCAGGACCGACTCCCTCAGCACCAAGGAAGTCGACAGCAGCAGCAGAAGCTACAGAGGGGGCAAGGGTGGAGGGGGGGGACCCCTCAAAGAAGGGCGTGCGGGGAGTGCCACGAGCAGCACATACAGCAACGATGTTGGTCTCAACTGCTAGGAGGTGCTTCGAGAGCAGGTCGATAGTGAGGTCTGTGGGGTGAAGGGCGAGAAGGGTGTCCCGGACTGCGCTAAGAGAGTTGGGGAGGCGAGTGACTATAAAGTAAAGAGTGATGTAGATCGGGGGCTCATTCTTGGGGACAAACTCGGTGGGGAGGGCTGCACAGTAGCGAGCGTCCATAGTGCGGAGGTGGGTGATGAGGTCGTCTACATTGTCGAAAGAGGACAGCTCGGGAAAGAGGTAGGGGAGGATGAGGCGACCTAGAGCTGCAGTGGTAGGGGAAGAGTAGCACGCGACAACAGCGTTGTACAGTTCTTTGGCCGGTTTAGTCTGATCAAAGTGCTCGCGTTCGGCTATCAACAGGTGGTTACGAACAGCTAAGCGAGCGGCAGCGTCACAAGTGAGCCATTTCGAGCGAGCCGTACTATCGGCAGAGGCGGCAGGGGCAGGACGAGCTCCAGACGTGAGGTCAAATCGGGAGACATCGTCCTTAGAGTCGCTAAGGAGGAATAGCTGTAGGTCCTGCAGCCAGGTTTCGAACTTAATAGGGCGGCCGTCAGGATCAAACTCAAGGACGCTGAGGGAGGCCATAGCGCCGCAGTGAAGGGTAGCGTAAGTGGGCGTGCGGTAAGTAAGGCGGCGCACGGGCTGCAAAAGCTGCTAGGGAGCCACGCAGGCTGCAGGTAGGCAGTGCACAAGGCGACAGAGGCGGTGCGCAGGCTGCAGGGCAGTGCTCAGGCCGCGCGGGCAGCAGGCGGACGGCGAGGGGGCCGGCAGGAACTGCGCGCGGACATGAGAAGGCGGCGTGCAGGCCACGAAGGCAAAGCGCAGGCGGCGCGGGCTGCTAGCGAACGGCGCGCGGGCCGGCAGAAGCTGCACGCGGGCTGCGCGGGCAGCGGGCGGGCTGCGCGGGCTGCTAGCAGGCGGCTCGCGGGCCGGCAGGAGCTGCGCGCGGGCTGCGCGGGCAGTGAGCGGGCCACGTGGGCTGCTAGCGGGGGGGCGCGCGGGCCGGCAGAAGCTGCGCGCGGGCTGCGCGGGCAGCGCACAGGCGACGCGCGGGCCTGCAGAGGATGCGCGCAGGCTGGCAGGGGCGACGCGCGGGTTGCGCGGGTTGCAGGCGGGCAAGGCGCGGGTTGCAGCGGCGGCGCGGCACAAGGCAGGGCAGGGCGTGCGCGGGGCTGCGCAACGCAAGGCAGGGCAGGGCAGGGCGTGCGCTGGCGGCGCAATGCAGGGCAGGGCGCGGGGTAGCGCGGTAACCGCAGTCGGTTGGTGGGCCCTAAAAAAAACCGGTCCTAAGGACCTACTCCTCTGAATACCATATCAGAACTAAGAGCACAAAATGGATGAACTATGAGAGTGTTGGGTACAAATAGAAACCCTCAAGGGGTTGTACTCCATATTGGCTACCCCATTAAAGCCTACATATTATACTATAACATATATAGTTTGACAATGAACTCGACACCTTTCTTGGCATTGCACTGCACCTTTTATAGTAGAGACTTCTTGCAATGTATCGGCTTGATATCTATGGATGCCTGCCAACAGATTAGGTATTTTCCCTAAACTAGCGAACCTCATCTTCACTTGGAGTCACATTGTATGACAGCAACTTCACAATAACAACCACCCCTCCTCCCGCCCTCCTCTTCCTCCCCGTCCTGATACCGTATAATGGAACTGGAGCCTGCAATCATGTGGTGCAGTTACAGTATTACAGGCTCCAACCAATCCAAGAGCCAGTATTTGTGCCATTCCATTCCGCTGATGCCAGTACCAATTGGGCAGATTCTAAGTTGCAACCCAATGGCTTCCAACGCTTTGTAGTGGTGATGCTGGTGGAGGTACGGCTGGCGAACCTGGTACCCTTGAGACGTCTCAAGTTACTTGTTTTTTTCTCCTCTTGCTCCACCCCCTCCCCCCTCCCTCACTTCCCTCCCCACCTTCCATCTCATTCAGCCTGCTAGACAGCGTCCTTCCATTATTGGCCCCACATGGCCATACCCCAAGTCACACAAGTCTAGCTCGGCCATGAATTCCACCACTCCTGCCAGCAGAGCATGCAACGCATTTCGTCTTGAGAAAAAAAAACAAAACAAAAACAAAAAACAAAAACAAAACAAAACAAAACCAAAAAGACAAAGACCAAGGAAGAAAAAAAAAGGCGAACGTGCAGCACGGAAACACAAACATGCACACGCACAGCAATACTTCGCGTGCAGACCGCGAGTGCAGCAGACTAACACATGGTTACGGAAAATGTTCAAATACAAGCACATCGTCTCACTCACCCGTCCTTGAGCCTCAGGCGGTGGAGCAGGCGGAGGAGGTGAGGAAAAATCTATTCCCCATCGCTCCACGTCCGGCGTATCAAACATCTCGCGGTGCTTGCTAATGTCATGCTCGTACCCCCGGTTCCCTCCACACGGCTCTGACCCCGCTAGCAGGATGGCTGCCTGGGCACACACTAGCTTATCCACAATCGCCACCACCCCTGCCAGCAGTGCAACGCAAACCATGTATTCTAGTACTACGAACTGATAAAATCGTTTCAGGGCTAAGAGCGGTACTTCAAATTATGTATGTTTCTTAAAGTGTAGAATTTACAATATAATTAGAACATACATACACTTGCATGAGGTGTGTCACCTCTCTTGAGTGCGGTGCGCTCTCATCACTCCTTACATTCTTCGGTTCTTCCTAATCTTTGCCGACCACTTTTGATGTTACTGCCACCTCTCCTTGCCTTTGTAAATCTCCTTTGTTTACTTGGTCATCCTTTACGGACATCCTTCCATTTGTTCCCTTTTACCTTTGTTTCCTCTTACCTGAAGAACTTTCTTCCTCCTTACACAACACACGCAAATGCAAGAACGCTCGCACGCACACGCACATACATGCATGCATGTGCACACGCACGCACACACACACACACACACACACACACACACACACACACACACACATACACATACACACACAGAAAAACACACACACTGACCAAACCATCCGTGTTACATCCTCCCCTCCACACACAACGGCGACACATGACTGCCAATGATCAATCGCAAAAGACGTATGCCACCGGATTCTACTCACTGGGATCATGCGAGTTGAGAGCCGGAATCAGCGCGTCAAGAATCACACCTACAAACCTACTCACTGGGATCTCGAAGCGGCTTCCCAATCATGACCGTGCCACACGCTCACAAGAGAGCAAAGCCAATGCAGCTGCCATAGAGGCGGCTCAAGAATCAACCCCACAAACCTACTCACCAGGATCGTACGAGTTGAGAGCGGGTATAAGCTCATCAATCATATACGTGCCGTTGACACGAGACCGCAGCCAGTGCAGCTGCTGTGCCGCTATGCTGGTAACCGGCGTTTCAAACAGCCACTCCATGTACCCCCAAGAGCTGGACCGCGAGGGCGCACTAAACGCATTGTACGGCACGTCGGCGGCTATGAAGACAGCGGTTATGTTGTGCTGCTGCTTCACCGCGTTGATGTGCTGCACGGCGCTCTCCGTGCACCACTGCATCTGCTGCTGGAGCATCGTTGCGTTGCTGTGCCCGTTTGGGAGCAGCTGGTTGTCCGACATCTGCGGGTGGGCCGCAGGGAATAAATAAACGCATGGGGTGTCGAGTGGTGTTGGTCATGCGGATGTGGTGCAGGGGGGTTGTGGTGCAGGGGGGTTTGTGGTGCATGCATGTAGGGTGTGATGTTTGGAAAGCCGGGCCCTAATGCAATCCATTCCTTCCACGCTCATGCCGTGCCTACCACTCTGAAGGCATATGTGTTCTCTGCGGGAATGCACAGCAAGCAAAGGCTTGGGGAGACGCTCCAAAGTGTATTTTCAGTCGATTCAATATACAGCTCTACTTTTGCCTACCGCTCATGCCTTGCCGTGCGTACCACTCTGAAGGCAATGAACTCGGAGCGGAAATGCACCGCCAGGAAGGGCTTGGGGAGGCGCTCCGCAATGCGCGCAGCGAGGTAGTGCAACTCATGGTTGTACGGCAGCTGCTGCAGCGCTATGTCGTCCGTGTGTGGCTCAAAGGACACGCGCTCCCACGTGGTCTTGAACCACAGCACCACGTCCTTGTCCCTCCTGTGCTCACACGTGGGATCGGGGGTGGGTGTGGCGGAGTTTGAGACGTCTCAGACTTCGAAGCACACACGCTCCCACCTGGTCTTCAACCACACCACAGCACCCCACGTCCTTGTCGCTCCTGTGCTTGTACGTGGGATCCGGGAGTGGGTACAGCAAGGGGTTGGGTGTGGCAGAGTACTGAGACACCTCAAAGTCCACAGTGCACTCGCTCCAATGAGGACTTGAGCCACAGCACCATGTCCTGGTCACTCCTGTTTCCACGGGTGTGGCACCGGGGTTGGGTATGGCCGCAGAGAGCTGGCATGACAGAGTTTTGAGGCGTCTAAAAGCTCACAGTACACGCGCTTCCACGTGGTCTTGAACCACCCCGCCATGTCCTTGTCTCTCCTGTGCTTGCACGTGGCACACGGTTTGGCACGGGGGTTGGTATGTCACCGGAATGGGCGTAGCAGAGGGGTTGGTTGGCATGGTGCACATGGCACACACACTCACGACTTCACATTGTTACCATAGTCTTGTGGCAGCCATGGGGTTGCAGCAGTGGCAAGGATTGCGCACCCTGCCAGCAGCGCACATACTGTTTGCGAACAAGGTTTTCAATGTCGTGTTTGTTAGCAGGCATGTTGAAGAGAACCGTGTTGTGCTCTGTTGGCACGTGGCCCAGCGCGAATGTCAGCAGCTCGCCTGTGAACTCCGACACCATGTCTGCTCGCCCACTCACATGCCATGGCCCCACGTGTCGTGCCCCACATGCCATGCCCCACAAAGCACCCATTCCACACGCCATGGCCCCCTGACACACACACACACACAAACACACACACACACACACACACACACACACACACACACACACACACACACATAAAGAAGGATGAAATTGGGGTTTCAGTTTCTCATAGAGGGCAGCATGGATGGTGTTACATATGTAGGAATGGAGTGAGGAAGTGGGAAGGTATGGCATGTGTGAGCGAGATCGAGCAGAGGCAAGCACACACACATATATGCACGCACACACGCTCGCATGCGCACACACGCACGCACGCACACACACGCGCGCGAGCGAGAGCGGGCGCGCATGCTCACGCACGCACAGAGACGCACACACACGCACATACATGCGTGCACGTGCGCGAACACACACACACACACACACACACACGCACCCACACACACACAAACACACGCACCCACACATACACACACACACACCACACATATATACGCACTCACACACACACACATACGCACACTCATCATGAGTGAGACATATTGCCAGAGCACACTGAGACTCTCACACCCACCCTCACTCACCCACACACTCGCTCTCTCCTCCCACCCATTTACTTGCAAGAGCCGTCCCAGAAACACAATCGAAATGCCCACAGCAAGCCAAACCCCAATGCAAATGCCCACCCCAGACAGAGCATTTGTGGGGGAGGTAAGGCGTGGCCCCAAGCACACCGCCGAAAAGCATGCAAGAACGGACCCCAGTCGAAGGGATTGCGGTTGAGGTAGGGCGATGTGACCCAGGTGAAGCCCACTGAGGGCTCCTTGAGAGCTGCGCGCGCCAGCAGCAGGAAGAGCTCCGGTGATATCCAGGGCGCCGCATCGAAGGGCGTGAGATCCCAGTAGGAGCAGAGCGGCAGCGGGTGCGAGAGGTCTATCCGGCTGTTACTCCCCTGGGATGCTCCCATGCACGCGCGACGGGGAAGTGGGGGGCGAAAGGGGGGAGGGAGAGGGGGAAGGGAGAAAAGGGGGGAAATTGGGGATACGAAGTGGGGAGGGGATAGGGGGAAAGAGAGGAATGTGGGGTGTGAGAGGTCAATCTGGCTGTGACTTCCCTGGGATGCAATGAAGAGCTCGGGACAGAGGAATTAGGAATTGATGGAGTGTACTCAGAGGTGGTGAAGGGGGATTGGTACCTGCGTTCTCGCCAGTGACACCATGCATTCTCATTATTTGGCAGCGCGAACTCTCAGCGGCAGCACTCTCACCAGTGGTAGCACGAGCACGCGGTTGGCCATGCGGGCCACACGAGCGGCCTCCACGAGGTGCGTGCGCGCGTTGCTGAGCTGCTCCTCCGACATGGCGAACACCAGGTACCGCCCTGGCGTACTCAGGTCCAGTCGCTGCAATGCCTGCCAGCAGCCGGAGGGTGTTGGACGGGGAAGAGGGGAGTGGAGGGGAGGAGGGGGATAGGAGGGGAGGAGAGGAAACGGGTGGGAGAGCAGAGAGCCTAGGACATGGAGCAGCAATGGCAATGGTGTACGGCATCCGCCTCCGCTGCTACCCACCCCTGCTAGTCCACTCACGAGTCAGGTCGCCCAGCTTACACTGCGGGAGAAGGGCACGCCAGGCGCGGGCCAGCACGTTTCGGGCCAGTTCCGGCACGTGCTGCCGTGGGCGAGCAGGTTGCTCTGCACGCGGTGCAGGCGGCGACACACGGACTCCATTCCGCGCGCCACTGCTTCCGCGCTCGTGTAGCCGTGCCGCTGCGCGCTCCGCAGCCACGCGCTCTCGTTCACGCCGCCCTGCAAGGCGCGCTGCCACGGCGCCGAGCACAGAAGCGCCACGTCATGCTGCACTCGCAGTCGCTCCGCATTCTGCGCCGCCGCTGGCGGATCTTGCGTGTCGCCCAAGGACCCCGCCGCCTGCGTCTGAGCTACCTCCGCCACCATGCGCGATTCGTGGAGAGCAAGAGTTTCAATGGCGGCGGCTTCTCTCTGCTTGCCCTGTGAAGCCCAATCCTGCAGCGACCGACACAAACTAGCTCGGCAAATGGCGGCGAGACGAGACTCCGACTCCGAATCTAAACCGTTCATAGCATCGCGACTCGGCGCACCGTGGGTCGGCCAGCGCGGCGGCAACCGTCCGGCGGTCCAGGCCAGCCACGAGCCGCGGAAGTCGTGGAAGGGGCGAACCACTACTTCTAGCTCGTCCATGCATATGGGCGGCATGGGCGCGCGGCGCGAGTGGAGAAGAACGATCAACGCGAGTGAGGTAGCGAGCGCGACGACCAGCACGGGCCAAGGAACAACGCCGCCGCCTGCTGGGTCGTGCCGCATCTTGTTGCCATTAGTCCCGCACGCGGCGGCGCGAATCTCGATCGCCGAGTCGGTTTTACCGGAGAGGACGCGGCGAGCGCAGGTGAAGACGACGCCGACCCGCGCCGCGAGGCAGTTCAAGCCGTCTACGAGTAGTCCCAGGCGCGGTCGCATTGCGTTCCGAGGCGCATTCGCGTGGTCTAGAAATTACTACTGTGCGAGTAGAGCTTGTAGAGACCGATTGCCACTCGAGGCGCGCTCGCGACGTGTATCGCTACACCTGCTCCACGGAATTTTAACCGCCGTTACCTTAGCCACCTGGTGTACCTACCCTTAGTTAAGCTAGTTTATGAGGGTATTGTTAAAATTGCCTGGGGTAGAGTCGCGCATTCCCTTCGCAAGTGTGAGTTTCATTAGATTGGAATGCCTCATTGTAAATTGATAGTCCCGTAGTCTTGGGGTGCACGTCTCATGATAGGAAAAAAGCACAAAATGTGCCCATAAAAGCAATGTTGGTTAAAATACTGTGGACCATGTGTATACTGACATTGGCTGTATGCACCGAATGGTTTGTATAACACCAATGCGTCCAAAACGGCGCTATTAGACTACCTACAAGCGCAATTTGCCGCACTCAAGCGTACTTCATAGGGATGTTTCCTAAATAAATCGAAGTGTACTTCGTGTCCATTTGTCCCCTTGTGGACAATCTGCCTACCACGTTTTTGGGGTTAGGTTACAATCACAAGCACATTAAGGGTACATTCGTAGCCCGTGTCACACTTCAGGTCAATGTCAAAAACAGTAGCTAGAATGAAGAAGCCATAGCTAGGGTTTAGCTAGCTAGGCAAGAGAAAATAGGCAAAGGAGGAGGTTGCACTAGCAAGCAGGTGGATACATATAGGAAACCCTAAAGGGTCGTACTCACTATAGAGTACCCCACTACAGGCTAGACAAACTACACATTCTGACACACTCCCATAGTCAAAGTGGGGTATGATCAGTACAACTAGCAGCAGTTTATAGTTCAAAAATATAAGCAAAGCTAGAGGCTATTACAAAGGGCAAGTGAGGAGGAGGAGGGACTATGAGAGGAGAGGAGGTAGTGGGCGGTAGCTGAAGATGCTGGCACACGGCGCAACTGGAGCAACTGGCACACAGGCAACTGGAGCAACTGGAGCAACTAGCACACTGGCAACTAGAGCAACTGGCACACGGGCAACTGGAGTAACTGGCTCCGCGGCTAGACGAGCGGCAGGAGCAACTGACTCTCGGGCGACTGGAGCAACGGGCTCACGAGCGACTGGAGCAACGGGCTCACGGGCGAGGCGCAACGGTCTCACGGGCTACTGGAGCTGCTGGCTTCACGGCGGCCACCCCCCTTCAACCTCCCCCTTTGTCCCAAAACTCCCGTTCACACCCCCTGCTGCACCCCTAGCTTCACTCCCACGACACCCCCCTAGCACCACTCCTTCAGCTCCCACACACCCACCCCCCTCAGCGGCAGCTGCAACAGTGGGAGACGAAGGAGGAGGAGGAGGAGGGGACGGTTCACACACCCGACACCTATGAAGAAATGAACTAGCAAAGAGGTGGGTACAAGTAGGAAAACCTAGAAGTGTTGTACCCCATATTGTCTACCCCACTACAGCCTACACAGACTATAGCATATGAGTTTGACACACCCCCATAGGCAAAGTGGGGGAGAACAAGAGGTCACAAGACCAGTAAAGCAAAGCAAAGCAAGCTCAGGGTGGATCACAACGTCACCACACAGTCTGAGCACAAGAGCAAGGCCAAAAGGCCAGTTCACATGCAAGATCATACATAAAGGTAAACAAGCAAGTGCAGGTATAGAAAGATCACAGTACAAGCAAGGTCAAGAAGTGAGCAAGTGAGGCCAAGTAGGCACAAGACCTAACATTGCACAGAAGCGCTGATGATCACCAGGCGGAAGTGCCTTGGTAACGATATCAGCAGTGTTGGCCTCAGAGGCCACGTAAGCAAGGCGCAGCTGACCACGCTGCTGCAGCTCACGAGCAAGGAAGTAGCGGAGAGCAATGTGCTTCGTTCTGTGCTCCAGTCTGTGCTCCCGACACAAGGCCAGCATGGCCTTGTTGTCTACGTACAGAACTGGAGGAGAACGAGGCGGCTCTCCTAGGTCAGTCAGCAGGTAGGTGAGCCAGCGTAGCTCCTATGCAGCCATGGCCCCAGCGTAGATCTCAGCCTCACAGCTGGAGCCGAGAACAGAAGACGAGCGGGTAGACCGCCACGAAACAGAGCCGGAGCCAAGGCTGAAGGTGTAGCCCTGTGACGACCGCTGCGTAGCCTGGCCGTCAGCCCAAGAAGCGTCTGCGTGACCTGTGAGGACCACCCGACGTCGCCCTCCAAGCACTAGCCCCATGCGCGACGTACTGCACAAGTAGCGCAACACCCTCTTCGCTGCAGCCATGTGCTCTGGTCGGTGTCTCCCAGGAGCAACATAGCGTGCCAAGATGCTAAGAGGGTATGCAAGGTCAGGTCGTGTGCAGGTCATCAGGTACATGAGGCAGCCAACAAGCTCTGGGTACGGGCCACTCGGCTCTACGCACTCATCCGAAGGCAGAGCTGAGAGCGAGTGGCGAGTAGAAAGAGGAGTGGCCTGAGGCGAGGAGTATGTGAAGTCGAAGCGCTGAAGGACCTGCTGCACCATGTGTGACTGAGTCAGGGTAATGGTGCGCTGTGCTCTGTCCCGGGTGATCTGCAAGCCAAGGTAGCTGCGCAATTCACCCAGGTCTGTGCACATGTGTCTCTTCTGTAGCTCGGACTTCACGTGGGCGAGTCCAGCAGTGTCAGCAGTGGCAAAGACCAAGTCGTCGACGTACACGAGGATGTAGAACGGCAGCAAAGAGGTGTCGGTGCGCAGAAACAGCGACGGGTCGGCTGTAGACGGAGCAAACCCAAGAGCCGCAAGTGTAGTCCTCAGTGTGTCGTGCCACTCACGGGGCGCCTGGCGGAGACCGTAGACTGGCCGCCGGAGGCTTCACTGGGTACCAGGAGGAAACGACCCAGTGAAGCCAGGTGGGCGGCGCAGCCAGATCTCCTCGTGCAGGCTGCCCTGCAGGAAAGCTGTGCTGAAGTCAAGAGAGTGAAGCTCGTAGTCGCGCTGAGCGGCTATGTGCAGCAGCACCCAAAGAGTGGTCATCTTCGGGGGGGGAGAGAAGGTATGAAAGTAGTCAACTCCCTGCCGCTGACTGAAGCCTCGAGCCACGTAACGTGCCTTGAAGACAGGCGGAGAACCCGGCGGCCGCTTCACCCTGAAAATCCACATGCCACTGACGATGTTCACCCCAGGTGGGGGAACCTCGTTGACGTAGGTGCCTGTGGACTTCCAGGAAGCCATCTCTGCGTCCATGGCTGACTGCCACTGAGAGGAGTAGGGACCCTCGATCGCCTCAGCGTACGATCGAGGAGTTGGGATGTCTGGTGCATCCGGGTCTCCCTCAGGGGCAATCAGCATGGACACGAGATGAGGCAAAGCAGCAGCAAAGCACTGGAACTCCTCATGCCTGTCCTCAAGGACGTCCGTGCTAAGAGCACACTCACCCCCGACGGACGGAGGACAGACAGACTCAGACTCAGCAACAAGACTAGCAGCGTAGTCTAGACGACAGCGAGCAGCAAAGTCGACAAGCTCAGCAACTAGGGCTGACGCAGCAGTGGACTCAAAGGAAGGGTCTGTGACAACAGTAGCCAGGAGACGCGTGACAGTAGGACTCGCAGTACGAAGAGAGTCAGCCTCCGGGTCAGCAAGGATAGGAAGAGAGGACTCTGGAGGAGACGGCAACGGGACACGCAGAGGAGCAGTGGACGGATGCAGTGCCATCTGGTGTGTGCCTGGGACCACAGGAGGACGCGGACGCGGAGCACGGCGACTAGTGCGAGCAGCACGAATAGGCGACACAGGACGAGACGCAGGCTCACGACGCTGAGCAAGACCTCAGTAGGACAAGTGGGCAGCCGCAATCACTTTTCCTGGTGTAGTTTCTGTTTGTGTCTCGACTGGCTCTCCTAGCACCCCTTGCCTAGCCGTCTATTCCCAGGATGGAGTCTCTTCTTCGGTAGTTCTTAGTATCGCTCCAGCCGTGCCTTGCTCCAGCCGTGCCTTGCTCCAACCGTGCCTTGTTCCAGCCGTGCCTTGCTCTAGCCGTGCCTTGCTCCAGCCGTGCCTTGCTCCAGCCGTGCCTTGCTCTAGCCGTGTCTCGCTCCTAGCTGTTTTCGCTCTTCGCTCCTAGCTCGGTTTGCTCCGTGCTCCGGCCGTTCCTCACCTAGTTTCACCTGGCGCTCCTAGGTCAGTGTGCTCCGTGCTCCGATCGTTCCTCGCCTAGTTTCACCTGGCGCTCCTAGCTGTTCTCGCTCCTCGCTCCAGCCGTTCCTCGAGCCTGTGGTTTCTAGCCTAGCATTTCTAGCTCCGGCCGTGTCTCACTCCAGCCGCTCCTAGCTCCAGTCGCTCCTAGCCTACCGCTCTTGCACCCAGCTAGCCTTTACCATGGCGTCCACTAGAGTTCTCCAGTAGCAAGGACAGCAGCAGCGGCAGTTTCAGCAGTGGGAACCTCAGCAGCAGTGGTGCCCTCAGCAGTAGTGGCGCCCTTAGCAGCAGTGGCGCCCTCAACAGCAGTGGGGGCCTGGTGGTTCGGGTAGCGTTGGCTGTAGTAGCGGCCCAGCCAACTTGGGGGCTCGTCGTAGTGGCCGCGTTGTTGGCACCTGCCAGTATCGGATCCTGACCAGCTCTGGTGCTGGCACTACCTGTTGGCGTCCTGACCACTCTGCACAGCTGCCTCGACGACCTACACCGTAAGCGTTTTGGGCCTGAGTCGAGGCCACCGATCTGGCCACCGATCAAGCCCTATGTTTGATATGTCTATGGATGCTGCTTAATCTATCACATATGGGTCTTTTGGCTTGCGTGTACCTAGCTTATTATCCTAGCCTGTTGCTAGTGTAGGTACTTGTGCTTTTAGTGTAGGTGCTTGTGTTGTCACTAGTCCAGCCGTGCCAACTGCTGTTTCGTCACTCTCCTTTACGCTGGACTCATGTGCGTCGCAGTGCTTCTTCTGGAACCACACCACTGTCACACCTCTTTTGGCTCCAGTCCCAGTTGCCCTAGCTGCTCCTACTTCAGGACCAGCGATCGC